GAGAGACACTAGAGGTCATCAGGGTTGAGAGACACTAGAGGTCATCAGGGTTGAGAGACACTAGAGGTCATCAGGGTTGAGAGACACTAGACGTCATCAGGGTTGAGAGACACTAGAGGTCATCAGGGTTGAGAGACACTAGAGGTCATCAGGGTTGAGAGACATTAGACGTCATCAGGGTTGAGAGACACTAGAGGTCATCAGGGTTGAGAGACACTAGAGGTCATCAGGGTTGAGAGACACTAGACGTCATCAGGGTTGAGAGACACTAGAGGTCATCAGGGTTGAGAGACATTAGACGTCATCAGGGTTGAGAGACACTAGAGGTCATCAGGGTTGAGAGACACTAGACGTCATCAGGGTTGAGAGACACTAGAGGTCATCAGGGTTGAGAGACATTAGACGTCATCAGGGTTGAGAGACACTAGACTTCGTCAGGGTTGAGAGACACTAGACGTCATCAGGGTTGAGAGACACTAGACTTCGTCAGGGTTGAGAGACACTAGAGGTCATCAGGGTTGAGAGACATTAGACGTCATCAGGGTTGAGAGACACTAGACTTCGTCAGGGTTGAGAGACACTAGACGTCATCAGGGTTGAGAGACACTAGAGGTCATCAGGGTTGAGAGACACTAGACGTCATCAGGGTTGAGAGACACTAGAGGTCATCAGGGTTGAGAGACACTAGACGTCATCAGGGTTGAGAGACACTAGAGGTCATCAGGGTTGAGAGACATTAGACGTCATCAGGGTTGAGAGACACTAGACTTCGTCAGGGTTGAGAGACACTAGACTTCGTCAGGGTTGAGAGACACTAGACGTCATCAAGACAATCCACTCCTGCATCTCGCCTCTGAAAGTCTTGGGTAAATTTCTGCCATATTTCAACTACAAGACTAACAATCAAATTCAGATGTAGTTTCAAGCACAATTACTAACAAGTTACCAGTAAAAGCTACAGGCCACTACAATCACATCCACCAGTTTGTGCGGCTGCATTGTATTTGGTGAACTAATTAATAACACATTTCAAGGTGAAAAACTCTTAGAGGAAGGAGAGTGACATTCTTCGCTCATGCAGTCGTAGCACTTATTTTGGAGAGTTCCACGACCCATTTGTTTTTCCAGATATTCCATGTCTACAGATGCCCAAGGCATAGAATCGGCACAAATTTGTTTTCCGTTGACTAGGGTCTGTGGGGGCTGGGCGCCCGACTGGTGCAGGTTTTGTATCTGACTCCACACAGTCACCATCATGACCACTATAACCACTAATGAAACTATCAAGGAGAGAGAGAGAGAGAGAGAGAGAGAGAGAGAGAGAGAGAGAGAGAGAGAGAGAGAGAGAGAGAGAGAGAGAGAGAGAGAGAGAGAGAGAGGAAGACCTGATAAACGCGAACACGGAACACCACTCAAGACACTGGACCTCAAAATCGAATAGCACCTTTTCCATTGAAACTTTCTCCCAGACACTTCCCTTATTTGGAGGGGGAAAGCTGGCAAAGGGGAGAAAAGGGAAAGAGGGAAGAAAACGGGAAGGGGGATAGGAAGAAAGGTGGAAAGCTTAAAACACCTAAGAGGATGAAGGAAATGAAAGGGAGGGGAAGAAAGAGGAGAAAATAAAGAGAACAAGTGAAGGTACAACGTAGTTAAGAGGTGATAGAGAGGATCACGGATATTGGAAAACGAATATGAGGAAGGAAAGAAGGAAGGGGGAAAGTAAAGGGAGAAAATGGTGGTTCTAATAAGTACGCGAGTAACAGCGATAACAAAAAGAGAAATGAGAAGAGAGTCCAGAGAAGAGATGGTCCAAGGGAGAAAGTAAGATATCTTAGAGTTCTCTTACACCTAGTAGATAATCCTGACATACGAGTAGATAATCATGAACACAGAAAACAATATATAAAGAAAATTTACCTGCAGGTAAAGCAAGTTAACGCCAAACTAGTGAGGTGTGTACTCACCTATCTGTAGTTGCAGGGGGTCGAGTCTCAGCTCCTCTGTGTGTGTGTGTGTGTGTGTGTGTGTGTGTGTGTGTGTGTGTGTGTGTGTGTGTGTGTTTATACTGAGAGCTTAATCCCCTAAATGCATAACCAAATACTGAATAACTTAAGATAGGACAGCTGTTGGTTAAGTTCCTTCAAGCTACGTGTGATGGAGTGGGGAGTTCAGAGAGTGTGGGGCTGTGAGTTGCATGCACCAACAACCCGACTGATCAGAAAGCCGCAAAGGGAGGTTAATTAAACACCGAGACGCCTGGAGTTAAGGCAGAGATCACTCAACGCGAATTCTGGGCAAACTGCAGAACACGACGGTGTGTGGGAGTGTTGGTGAGGGAGTGTTGGTGGAGTGTTGGTGAGGGTGTGGGAGTGTTGATGAGCGAGTGCTGGTGATGGAGTGTCGTGGCTTTTGTTGAGAACAGCTGTACTAAACAAATAATAATAATAATAATAATAATAATAATAATAATAATAATATTATTATTATTATTATAGGAAAGTGCTATACCTGTAGAGGCCACAGAGCGTCTGGGAAATGGAAAGTAATCAGGTCTGATAAGAAGGGACAGCTCCATCGCCTTGGAACAAAAACCTTTCTCTAACATCAAAGCACCCCCCTCCCCGTTGAGGGGGGGAATGATGAAGTAAGAAACCATGATTGTTGAAACTAGTGAGGGGAGGTGGGGGGAAGGGGGAAGATAGGGAAGGGACGAAGCGGCCGGATACCACACTGAGATAAGCCAGCTATCTCACAAGCTGTGTATGAACCACTGGTGGCCAGTCACCAGGGCCACCTACCACCACTATCCATGTCCAATTTCCATTCGCTGGGCCACCTGGTTTAATTTTAAACAAGACTGGCATACCATGGTAGTGGTTTTCTGCCTACCAGTATACCAAGAATTGCTTTTAAAAGAATGAAAGTAATTTCCTGGACACGAAGAGGGATACTGAAGTGAATATTATAGAAGAGAGAACGAGGATGTGTACCTGTGTTGCTACCCAAGAAGTGTAAACACATCCACTTTGCTAGAATAATTGTTATTGGTCCAGTAAGGTAACATATTGCCATAAAGACAGCACTACGCAGTGCCACTCATCCTGTGAGTAAATATACGGACATGGACAGTTCTGTTTAGTACTAACACAAATAGCAGCTGTGCACTACTACACTTCTTCAAGCTGACACAGACAAATATCTGTACACAATGTAAGCATGTGAGAACAAGTTAAATATAGAACATAATGTGTTTATAAATGCGGTCAAACGTACATACATCCAGACAAGAGTACATTCACCACAAATCAATAGTAGCATAACGCACACATTATTCTTCATTAACAATTAATAAAAGCAATGATAATAAAGCACTTGACATACATAGGTCAGGGTCAGTGTGTACATACAAGGATTTCTGGGAAGCGCACACTTAGGAAGGAGGCAGGAAATTTGAGGTTAGTGAAAACATTACACGAGTACACAGGAAACCCGGGGTTATCACAGTAATGAAGTGTCTCTGAGAGAGAGAGAGAGAGAGAGAGAGAGAGAGCTGCCACTGTTACATGTTATGGCACCCAACACCACTCACAGTAACCAACAGAAACTAGTCACATTTTTTTTTTCCACCAGGAAGACTGTCTCCTGGTGTGTTTCCATATTATTATGAGATGGCGTGCAAAGCCAGCACAGGATGAATACAATATGTTCTACAGTGTATATATAAAGAGTTTACATTAATCACTATTTTAGGCATTAAAGTATTCTTGACAGGTGATGAACAAGTGACATGCAGCCCAGCTCGATTGCTAGTGCACTCAGCTCTCACACTGAGGTCCGTGGTTCGATTCCCGGTAAGCAGTAATAAACACAACTACAATAGCCAACGAAAAAGATAAACGGAACAATAGCAACATGAGAGAAGCATCGCAAACAATGGCAGTAACAAAAGCATACAAACAATAGCAGGAACAACAGAAGTATCAACAAAAAATCAAGCGCTCAATTACAACAAAAGCTTGACAAGAAAATTTGACTGATTTACATTCTAGATGTAGGATGATTTACAATGTCTAGATGCAGGATGATTTACAGTATCTAGATGTTGGCTGATTTACAGTGTCTAGATGTAGGATGATTTACAATGTCTAGATGCAGGATGATTTACAGTATCTAGATGTTGGCTGATTTACAGTGTCTAGATGTAGGATGATTTACAATGTCTAGATGCAGGATGATTTACAGTATCTAGATGTTGGTTGATTTACAGTGTCTAGATGTAGGATGATTTACAATGTCTAGATGCAGGATGATTTACAGTATCTAGATGTTGGCTGATTTACAGTGTCTAGATGTAGGATGATTTACAATGTTAGATGCAGGATGATTTACAGTATCTAGATGTTGGCTGATTTACAGTGTCTAGATGTAGGATGATTTACAATGTCTAGATGCAGGATGATTTACAGTATCTAGATGTTGGCTGATTTACAGTGTCTAGATGTAGGATGATTTACAGTATCTAGATGTTGGCTGATTTACAGTGTCTAGATGTAGGATGATTTACAATGTCTAGATGCAGGATGATTTACAGTATCTAGATGTTGGCTGATTTACAGTGTCTAGATGTAGGATGATTTACAATGTCTAGATGTGGGCTGATTTAACAATTCATCACAGCAAAATATTTAACTTCTCCGCTGATGTATTTACAAAATATTGCAAAATTGTATTATTATTACAGTCATGGAAAGCGCTAAACCATTAATGATTACACAGTGAAGACATTATATGAAGCAGACTAGGCAGAAGATGGTCACACAAGCGTGCATAACTCAGCCAAAGTGTAGCTCAGAAATGCAGAAGTTACTAACGGTCGTCAGAAGCCTGGTAAGTGAGCCACGGGAGCTCATATTAATTAATTGGCCAACGTTACCAGACGAGACACAAACCCAAGAACCAACAATTCAAACACATAGAGCACCTCAGCCAGGTTGACCGACCTTGATCTCCGTCAGATTTGTAGCCGCTCTCCTTCCTACGTCGGGAACTGGTCTTCCTTACGCTCTTGATGCGCTGGAAGGTCCTGGAGGGCAGACTCATGGAACCCTTCTCTTTCATGCTCCCGCCAAATAACTTGTCGCGAAAGGATGAGGTCTCTTTATCACCCTTAACGTGAGCGTCGCTACTGGTTCTCCGTGCCTTCATATGCATCACATCCTTCAGGGTGAGTTCCCCATGGTCGCTGAAACTTCGCCTAAGCTCATTCCGATACCGAGCCTGTAGCAGATCTTCCGTGCTACGTTGCTTGTACACCTGCGACCCACCCTCCACCTCCCGGCTCTTCCTCTTGCTTCTGTTGTCCAAAGTGAGAGCCTTGGACCTCTCGCTGACAGGAGTCAGGCTGCATGTAGGCAATATGAAGGACTGAATGGATGAGGCACTGTCAGGAGTTATTGGTGTGCTGGGTGTTAGGGGACCCTCAGGAGTGCCTGAAGAGCCACGGGAAGTGTCAGAAGCTCGGGTGTCAAAACTGTGATGAGTGACTGGAGTTGAAGTAGCCAAATTTTGTGTGTTGCCAGATGAAATAACAAGACTGCCAGGAGTGTCAGGTGTTGAACAGCTGCTTCGTTCACTACTTTGATAAAGTGCGGCCCTCTTCCTGGCATCTCTCTTCCTCCTGGGTGGTGGCACGGGCGGGCGCTCTGTCGGGGAAGGCACATCATCACCACTAACTACCATGACCTGAGTAGCCAAGCTGAGCTTAATATCTCGACGCTTAATAAGCAGGTCGGGTGTGGAAGTGGAACTCCCCTTGATTAACACGTTCCCATCCACTGTGCTGTTTTCGAAGACTAGACCATCTCCCGTTGTAACGTCTTCCATTGGCTGAAGGTTTTCTTTTGAGGCGTCGCTCTTCTGAGGCAGAGGTACATAAAAGGCGCTTCTCGTTTGCTGTGGTATTCGCCTCTCTGGTAGTTCTTCTTGCACAACAATAAGAGATTTCCTCCTTTCACGAAGTCGCTTTTCCTTGTCCATCAACCGTGTTTCTGTGTCCCCTTGCAAATTGAGCCTCCAGGCTTCTTCCTTGATGAGGTATTCTCGCAAGAGGAACGGTGAGAAGTCTTGGTCATCACCCGAAGTGGAGCAGAGACGGAGACTACTTTTTCTGGCAGCGATTCCAACCTCGTCATCAGTGTGGAACTTGGCTATTGACTCTGGCCGGGGTACGGTAGGGAGATCTTCCACGCCAAGATTAATGGTGAACCGCTTGTTGTCGTCGTTATGACATGATCCATCAGACTGTTGTGACTTGCGATTCCTCAGCACCACGACGTCTTCTGTGGAACAAAGGGAAAATATAAGATACACATCTATAGCTCATACAGTGCAGCATATATAATTCACCATGATAACAATATAAAGTTTCTCAAGGTTTAACAGTTCTACTAACCTTCCTCCTTGGTGTCGGAAAGACCAGCAATTATCCCGAGGTCGGACTGGCCCTTCCTTTTGCGTCTGATGATGGATTGAAAGGCTCGTTTGGCCATCCTGAGATGTTTTGCGTCTCTTGGAGTCTCCTTGAAGTGCTATTATGCAGACAACCCCTAACTATGGTGGAGCATGTAACAACAAGGCCCCCTGGCTGTGTGGTTTGAGGTACGTTCTCACCCTCAGGTCACTCTGATATTCGCTCCTATTCCTAATTTCCAACAGACGGGTTTGTATGTTGAATGTTTACAGCAGCCCCTTTCCTCAGCTACCGCAAGTCACTAGTAAGAACTGTCAGCACTGCTCTTTTAAAAAAATTTTATTATTCACAATTTTTTAGCAAGCAAATTATGTTATTTAAAACGGACATATCATGAACTGGAAAATTTCCCAAATCTTCACATAGATCTAACGGGGTGACCCTAAATCTTATGTCAATGACGAAGGCAAAAATTTCATTTTCTCTTTTTTACATATTTTTCTATCACATTTGGCCTTAGGTGCTGCTTTAATTCCCACATGCACACATAGCTACCGACTTCCCCACGGACAGAAAAATGCAAAATTCTACGTAACTGACACTGAAATGCTCTGGAGACGCAGATGACGATTATTAGCAAGACTACGACAGTGTGCTTAAAAATACCACAGGGAAATTGAAGACACACTGTGGAGGAAGTAGAAGAGGGCAGAGGTTACCTCTCTCCAGTAACCAGCCTCACAAGTGGCCTCTGTGGCACTGTCTGACACTTAAGGCACTGTCTCCAGCACTTGCTTGACATAGCAGCACCCGGGAGACACTCAACAAGACAACTGGCTTCATCTGGACTTACCAAAAATGCTTTAAAGTAACACAACATTCGAACACGTGCAGAGAGTCAACCCTCACAGCAAATCCTTCCGCTGCCTCGGTAAGCTAAGAATCCCAGTGACAAAGTCAGACATAAGAGAGGAGCATGAGCTCCATGGGCACGCAGCTTCACTCATGAAATAATAAAGAAGAAAAAATACATATAAAGGGAGCACAAAGTGGATACACACTAAAAGAGACGATCCGAACACCTCTGGCAGGAAATGTCGCATCCCCTAATAGCGATAATGCTCGAAAACACACACACACACACACACACACACTTTCGTCTACACTCTATGTACATTTAAAAATAAAAAGTAATATGAAGGGAAATTCACAGAGGAGATAGTGAAGTTAAGAAGCAGCCACACAGACCATCGTTGTGACCAGCACGATGGTCTGAAATGGCTTGTCACAACACCAGATGCTTCCCTCTAAGACATGTTTTAGACACCAACGTTCCCAGGTGACTTTAAATAAAGGTGATGTAATCTGTCCATCAACCTTGAGAGAAGTATTTGAGGTGGTCAGTCCCTCAGCCTGGAGAAGAGTTCAGTGCCATGGTCTGGAACGATATCGTTCAAGACCATGAGAGAGCGAGAGCAAGATCTCAGTAGTAGTACCAGTTACCAGTAACCAGTGTACCAGTAGATGACTCACTACCAACAGTCTCTGCGTGAATCACTGTCTGTATTCATATTGTGCTGACCACAGCAGTATTCAAACACCCCCTCACATATGGGTACTGGGGTTAGTTAGTCTGACGAGAGTGAGCAAGGAGGCAGGTCACGGCTGTTTGGCTCTTCCATACTACCGTTATAATTATACGTACTACCAGCCTACGTGAAGTATTACTTACCCTATCCACGTGTTCGAACCCCACATGATAAATGGTGGCACCGGTGTGGGCGTGGATTTAAGCTTTTTTAAGGGTATTTCAAGACGTTAGAAGACTGTTTGTGAGTAGCCGGCGGGTCAAAGGTGAACCGTCTCACCCACCAGCTACTCGCTCCCCTCACAACCTCAACCCTGCAAGCCTGTTGCAGCTGTTTTTCAAACTTCCTGGCTTAGTTCGTGTGCTAATTGCTTCAATCTCCGAGGGGTTGATCCGGATTTTGCAATTAAGCCAGTCAGTAAGCCAGACTGTGGAAGTACGCCTGTCAGCCTGTCATCCAGCCTGTCTCCTGTCATCCACCTGCTCCTTCATGCTGTGTGCATCGTTACCTGTCTTCCAGTCAGCCATTCTCGTGGGTTAAGCCAGTCAGCCAACCCAGCTTCTAACCCAGCTGAGAGAGAGAAGTAAGCCACACAAGTTCCTCTGAAGTATTGTCTCATATATCGCTTTGTGCTCTCTGTTGGATGCTAAGAGTGAATTTCACCATTCCTGTGGCATAGAGTGGCTTATCAAGCCACCTTCGTGGATAGTGAGTGGAGTGCGCGCCAGTGAGCGCCAGCGAGAGTCACACCCACCACCACCCATCCATTCTACTCACACCACCACCACCACCACCACCACCAGCCATCCACCTCATCTACCTGTGGCTGTTTGCACCCTTGTACCGGGTCCTAATACTGTTTTGGCTCACATAATTGGTCATGTAGCTGAGCTCAACGATAAAGCCAGTTATGTAGTTCACCGAGAAAGCGCATTTCTTCCGACAACAGTGAGTGTAGGAGGCGTCAGTCATCACCGCGTAGGACAACCTTCGACAACCTACCCTCGTCACCATCACCGACCACTCCAGACTCCATAATTTTCTGTTTAGAGACATTTTTCTTGCATAAAGACATTTGCGTGTGTGAGACATTTATAGTGAATTTCTTGTGTACTCTAAGCCTTGTATTTTCAGTGTAGACTCAGTGTTTCTTTGACTCGTTATTTTTGCAATATTTTTCAGTGTTTTCGCTCATCTAACATTTTTTTTATCTGTGTTTTTATTTTATGCTACTCTCTGTCTGTAGTAAGTATTACTGTGTAGTGTACCAGTCAGTCACTCCGTGTGAAGTGATTCATTTTTATTGTATTCTTTCAGTATTTTATTTTCCAGTAATTCTCATTGTATTTCATGCAGTGATATCCACCCCAGTATACCAAATTATCCATTTATTTCTATGTGTGTCTTTTTTCGTATGCCAGCAGTGTCTCATTCCTCTAATTTTTTCGCAGACTTGTGTACCATTATTTCTGCCAGCAAATTTTTGTCGTATCAGTCACAGCAAGATTTTGTTGTAAGAATATACTAAAATAATGAATACGTGATTAAGTGTTGTGTGCCCCGCCACTTGTAAGTGTTGTGTGCCCCGCCACTTGTAAGTGTTACACTTCCCGTTTTGTTCCTTTGTTTTATTTTTATTCATATTGTTCATATTTCTTTGAACAAATTCACTCTTGATGTAATTTCAATTACTTTTAACGTAAAGTGTTTTCTTTACTCTGTTTGAGTAAATTGTTTTGTCTAATTTACAATTAAGAGTTAAAGTGTTCAATCAGTTTTTTTTTCATATTTTTATTTTATTATTTAACCTGAGTTTTCCCAGTGAGACTTTATTATTGCAGTGATTATTTCTATCCCTTTTTTTATTTTGGTGATTTTTCTTGTTCTGCAGTGAATTATTTTGTTGAACTTGTTCTGCAGTGAATTATTTTGTTGCCACTTGTTCTGCAGTGAATTATTTCTTTTATTGATATTTTTATGCATTATTATTCTCAGTTCATTATTGCATCTTGTTTTTCATTTTATTAATTTTCCTGATGTTGTCTTTGCATTATATTTTAATTTTGTTTATGCATTCTTAGAAAATATTTAAATTTCCCAGTTAAGAATTTAGTAATTTTATTTTATACTTTTTACATTGATTTAAAATTTTATTAATTAATTTCTTTATTAGCAAGAGTAAAGACAGCTCATTTTGCATTTAATTCAGTCTCCAGTAATATTTTTACTTGTATATTTCAATGTAATTTTTTTTTTCTTGGTCAACAGTTCTTTACACTGAGTTGTCCTTCCTCTTGCAGTGTATCTTAGACATTTTTTATTACTTCTGCAGAATTGTTAAGCATTTTCTTCCACTTAAGCTTACTGTGTCATTTCTCTATTTTTTTTTTTTGCCTTATGTCCTTGAGTAAGTTCCCTGAGATCATGTCCCAGTCACTTTTGAATGTTCACTTAGTGTATCATGCCAGTCAAAGTCAATATGAATCAGTCCACAGTACCAACATTCCCTTACTGACTGAAAGACAATACCTAGCCCTTGAGCAATGTGTTTGTTCTCACAGCTTGTATCTGAGATTTGTTAAAGTGCTGCGAAATGTGAAGTTCAGATTAAGTTCCTATAGATCCGTGAATTACTTATTAACGTAGCCGAGCGGTCAGGCACTAGTAATACTGTCACTCCTGTCTGGACTCCAGTGTTTCAGATTGTGATCCCATCCTAGTTGACAGTAATCAGTGCATTGTAAGAAGTTATTTCTCGAGTAACTTCCACGTTGTTAACGTTTGTAAGTGAAGTTTATAGCTGATACCTCGTGTCGCTGTGTGCGACTCATTGAATATCAGCATTGTTCACCGTGTTCATTTCTTTTCTCCTGTGCTTGCAGTTTGAGATAGTAGATTCGTTCTCCCTTGCTCATATTGCATGTTATAGCGTTAATTTTTTTCAACCAGGGGGAGTCATCCACTCCACCGAGTTTGTTCATTCCTCCAGTAAGAAAGAACCGATCCCTTGTGTTCTGGTGATTCGATTCCTGCTCCAGGAAGATCTTATTCTGACTGTGAAGCCACCAGCACCCATCAGTGACTTTGTCATGAACCAAGAATTACTGTATCGAACAGCCGTGTTGGGTACGCCTAGCAGAAGAGTATACCAGTTAGTAATTCCACAGTCACTAGTGAATGTAGCCTTACAGCTAGTTCACGATGTACCAGGTGTTGCGCACCCTGGTATGGATCGTTCAGTAAAACAAGCCAGATTGAAATACTTTTGGCCTCGTATGGCAACTAATATTTCTGAGTATGTTAAGAAATGTAGTGTCTGCATGCAACATAAAGGTAATGCTAATGGTCCTAATCCAATCCAAGTATATCCAACCACTAGCGAACCTTGTTAACTAATTTCCAATGTTCCCTCCAAGGCAACAAACATCTGTGTGTTATGGTAGACCATTTCACCAGATATTGTGAGTTAGTTCCTATTGCAGGACAAGACTGCCGAGACAGTAGCTAAAGCGTTTAAAGAACGCATTATCTGCAGGCATACCACCCCTAAGTCCCTAGTAACAGATAATGGAGGTGAATTCTGTAATGAGATTCTTGAAAATTTGTGCACCTTGTACAAGATCTCTAAATCCACCATTGTTCCTCATCATCCTGCCAGCAATGGGTTAGCGGAACGAACCAATAAGAAAGTACTTGATGTCTTGAGAGCCACTATCAATCCCAACAGTGAAACTTGGGATGAAGTTATACCTGATGTGCAGTGTGCTATAAATTCTGCTTACAATGTTTCTATAGGTGACACTCCACATTATGCATTGTATGGTGTAGATAAACGTTTGCCTTATGAGTTGTTATATTCTAATCCGAGACCAAATTACAACCCTGATAATTTCATAGCAACCCGTACCAGCTTAGCTCAAAGTGTTTTTAGAAGAATCCGTGAAACACTTCATAAATCAACAGCAGAATTTACAAGAGTCGCAAACACTCGAGCAAAGCCATCCAAAATCAAAGTAGGTTCGAGAATTATGCTGACTAACTTTAACAAAACGTCTGCAATGCCAAAGCTTGATCAAAAGTTTGTTGGTCCTTATCGAGTAGTTGAACATATCACTGGTAATAAGTATAAGGTTAGAGAAATTAGTACTGGTCAGTATAAAGAATCGCATTTAGATCATATGAAGTTAGTATGTGATGATAATGATGTTCCATCCCAGACTAATGTGACAGACTCTGACAATCCTCCTGATCCTGT